TGTTTATTGTATACTGTACTTATTACATTTTTCTTTGTTTGAAGTTACCGTGGAATCGAAAAAGAAATTATCTAGTGTTCAATCCCATAAGCACAAACCTGCGAAAGATTAAATTAATTGTTGGGCATTATTGACGAAAAATTGCGAGCTGATTTAGTTGAATCGGAACTTGTTAAAAAATATAAACAAATTATAAAAAATTGGGAGTCAGTGCTCAGAAAATGACTTGTTTATTCCGAGAAAATGATTTGTAACTTTTGCTTTTGTTGCAAATGTTTCGCATCTGTTGAACTTTGAATGTTGAAGACATGCGTGGAACAAATATAAAAAATGGAAGCAAAATTTACTTTGGAACGAAAATCTTAAGGCTTGTTTTATACCTAGTGGTGTCCATACTCTAAATTTAATAATTATTAACTATACAGAAATAATACATATCAAATAAAATAAGTTTTTTTTTTTCAATATTGTTCAAGAAATGTGTAATTTCATTGCATTTTTTTTATTGATTTTTGAACAATACTACTAAAATACGTTAAAAATTTAACTTTAAAACAACAAGCTGATACTCTGAATATGACGGCTCTTACGATATCAATAAGGAGAAGTTTACGACGCAATTTTGGATATTGTAAATGATGAAAAATTAAATTAAATTTAAATTTAAAAAATCCAACATGAAATACGAGTGTTATGTTTGAAAATTAAATGCTAGTTTTTTTAAATATAAATATTGCACATACGTTAAAAATAATTGAAAATTTCAAAATACTTGATTATAATCAAACCCCGAGTCGCCTCGATTTTCTAAATAAATTTAAAATCAATATATTTTATACGCTTTTAAATTATATCTAATTTTGTGCACTAAATCCAGAATAATTAAAAATTAATTTATTTATTTCACTTAATATTTTTGTTAAATTAAAGTTATAGAATTTAAGAAATGCATTTCAGAAATAGTATTTATTATTTAGATATCAAGGTCTTTATATCAAAATAATAAATACTATTTCTGAAATGCATTTCTTAAATTCTATAACTTTAATCTAACAAAAATATTAATTCTTTTGCTATGGTAGTCGAACTTACATCCTTAACCAATTTACTACATATTGAATATTACTAAAATGTGAAATTATGACAGGAATTGTTTTATTTATTGATATCGATAATAATAAATAAATTTAAAATCAATATATTTTATACCCTTCTAAATTATATCTAATTTTTTGTGTTCTAAATCCAGAATAATTAAAAATTAATTTTTGAAAAATATGTGAATATTTATAAAATTTTAATGATAAACTGTTAAAACGGTGAAAATTAAAAAGGGGGGAGGCGCTAGAAAAAAAGTCGCATGCGGGCGCTAAGGACCCCAGGACCGGCCCTGGATATGATGATAATGTATTAGCTGTTTTGGGGATATTTTACCGTACCTTTCGACAGTGCCTGAATTTTCAGTTTGTTGTGTCTTGGATAAATTTCCACCGAATATGTATATGAATTCATCGAGGACTGCAGATGAAAACAAGGCACGACTTTCAGGCATACTGGAGACGTAACACCATTTGTTTAATTCTGGAGAGTACATTTCGACGGTCTGAAGGATGTCATCGTCTTCATTTGATGCTTTCTGGACTAAAATAATAAAACAATTAGATAAGAGTTCTTAAGAAAAAATTAAATATAAGATATTTATAATTACCTCCTCCGAAGGCATAGAGAGCTCCGTTTACAGAACACAATGCATGCGAAGTCCTTTTTTGCAGCATCGGAGCCACCGTAATCCATTTGCCTTGTGTTTCGAATTTTTGCATATAAAACTACAGTAGAAGACATTTGCATATAAAACTACAGTAGAAGACATTTGCATATAAAACTACAGTAGAAGACATTGTAAATGCACATAGATGCAACAAAAAAGCAATATTTTTTATGAAATAAATTTTATTTTAATATTTTTGCTTACTTTAAAAACTACAGATAATTATAAAAAGTATTATTATGCCCAGCCCAGAAAATTTCATGAAATGTTTTGTTAATATTTATTTATGTTTATTTAATAAATAACTAGTGGTGTATGGTGTATGGCATCCTTAAGGCAAATTGCTGAAACTTTCCGTCCCAAAAAATATTTTGTTAATTTGAAAAAAACTGATTTTTAAAAAATTTGAAATTTTTGAAAAAAAATGCATTTTTTTATATTATGAAATATTTTGGAAACGGATAAACATTGATACAGGAACCATAGAAATTTAGGCAAAAACGCATTCTTATTATTAATTTCCCGTAGGGTAAGTTATTGTAATCGTCTAAAAATCGAAATTGAAAATTTTTACATTACTCGACGTTTTGAAGGTTTCTGAACATTTTGGCATATCTCAGAAAAAATAGATGTGTGTGTGTGTGTATGTATGTATGGATACAAATTTTCGTCCACGTTTTCGGGCGCATGGATCAACCGATTTGAATGGTTCAAAAAACATTCGATCCCTATTGATAGGGATATGTGATGATTAGTTTTTGGCAAAGGCAGGTGCACCCATTTCGAAGATACAGAGCTAAATGTGCAAAAAATGGCAGTTTTTGAGAGAACTAATCGTCCGATTTAAATGATTCAAAAAACTTTCTGCTTGTTATAACAAAATAATTATTTTGAAAACAAAATTGTTTGTTTCAAAATTTTTTCTTTCTTTTTTTTAAATTTTTGTATATCGAAAATAGTTCAGATTTTATTTTTAATTCTGACTAAAATTCTAATATACTTTGAACAAATAATTTCAACTTTGCAATTCAGTTTATTTAATTCTTATAAATATTAGAAAATGTTACAATATTAATAATAATTTATTTGAAAACTTTCAATATTCCTCGATCTTTTCATTACGATACGGGAAGTTCCAGCAATTTGCCTTAAGGCACGATGCCATACACCCCACTAGTTAAAATCTCTATAAAATATCTAATAATTTGATGTGCATATGTACAATGAACATTTTTGACCGCCAAATGGCATTTCCTTTTACTTTTTTCATTTCGTCTCCGAAACCGCTCGACCTGCCTTCCCAAAAATTTTACGAGTATTTTATTTTGTCAATACAAATAAAAGGTTTTTGAATTATTGAAATTTGATATCCGTAATTTATCTCAAAAAATGAATTACTATTTAACTTCCCGTAGGGTAAGTTATAGTAATCGCAAAAAAATCGAAAATGAAAATTTTTATATATCTTTACGTTTCAGAGGTTTCTGAACATTTTGGCATACCTTAGAAAAAATGGATGTATGTGTGTGTGTGTATGTGTGTGTGTGTGTATGTATGTATGTATGTACGTGTGTGTATGTATGTGCGGATACAAATTTTCGTCGACGATTTCGGGAACACGGGTCAACCGATTTGAATAATTCAAAAAACATTCGATTCGTATTGATAAGGAGACGTGCTGATTAGTTTTTGGCGAAGGCAGGTCTAGCCGTTCCGAAGATACGGGGCAAAAAGTGCCGAAAACGGTAACTCAGTTTTTGAGAGAACGGTGCGTCTGATTTGAATAATTCAAAAAACATTTCACTTGTATTGACAAGATGAAAAATCGATAAGATTTTCATGAAGGTAGGTCTAGCGGTTTCGGAGATATGGAGGGAAAAGTAAAAAAATGAGCCATTTGGCGGTCAAAAATGATCATTAGACATATGCTCATCAAATTATCAGATGTATTTATAGAGATTTTAACAATAAGTATACAATTTGTTAACATTCCTATGGGTTCCGTACCAATGCTTATGCGTTAGACAGCGACGCGGCGCTTACGCGCTTTATATTTTGTCCCTATGCAGTTAAAGCAGTACGATTGCTTTGAAAAGAAAGTTCAGATCTTCCACAATATGTCAAAATAAAAAAAAAATTTTTTTCAAAAAAAAAACAAAAAAAAAAAAATTAAATTTTTTTTTTTTTTTTAAAAAAAAATTTTCAAAAAAAAGTAATTTTTTGTCCAATTTATAGTTTCTCAAAAATCTTATTTTTTCAAAGTAATTTTTTTTTTCAAAAATGTTAATCGTTTTTAAAAAAATAATAATTTTTGGTACGGGAAGTTCCAGCAATTTGCCTTAAGGCACGATGCCTTAATTGCCTTAAGACAGAATTCCACTTACAGCTAGTTTTAGCTCATTTTGCACCGTATCTTCGAAACAGCTGCACCTGCATTTGCTAAAAACTAATCACGTCTCCTTATTGATTGGCACGTCTCATTAAATAATAGGAATCGAATGTTTTTTGAATCATTCAAATCGGTTGATCCGTGTTCTCGCAAATCGTCGACGAAAATTTGTATCCACATAGACATGCACATACACAGACACAAAAGAGAAAGAGCAAATGCGACTTGGCTCATTTAAAAGATAAGTATAAAATCAGTGCAAGAATTATAGCATTCTAGATCCTCTCCCCATGGAGTAATGCCTAACGGCGGTTTCCGTGGGGACCAGGGGCAAGGGCAAAGCGGAGGATTTTGAAAATTTTGCAAAAAGAATAGAAGGATGGGATATAACCCGTAAAATTTGAAGAAACGACAGTTGTTGACAGGGAAACTAGGTACCATACAAATCTATGGCAAAAGTGTGAAATTCTCCAATATCTCATTTTTTTATCAATCTTAGTCAATTCGCTGGGCATGCCACATAACAATATAATTTAAAAATGAATAACAGATTTTGATTCGCAATTCAGAAATGACTGAATTAATTAAAAGCACGGTAATAATATATCAAAATCTTGAAACTTCAAATGTGCCAATTCAATTTAAATAGAATCAGTTTCAGATTAGGTTGGCTCTTGCAAAGACTATTGAGGGACATTTATATGTGTCATGCTTTGCAGTGGGTAAACTATTCATATATTGTTTGTTCTACCACATTTGCAATCGGTTAGAAATATTTTTTATGGCAAAACAATGTTTTTGTTCAGCTAGTATATATAATAATCATATTAAACAATTTCTTACCATAACAGTATTGGTATCTTGTTTGTCTCCCTCGGTGCCACCGGTTATGTACAGTTTATTCTTGCAAAAAGTAGCCGCAGCACCTTTCAAAGGCCTTGGTAATTTTTCAAAATCACTCCATGAGTTCGATCTGACATCATATTTGTAACATTTGTCAGATAACTCTGTTTCTTCAACCACACCTCCTGTAAAAAAACACAGATAATAGAAAATAAAACATTGCACATGAGGAAAGTAATGATATTATGTATCCTTTATTACTTTACCTAGAAGAAACATTTCACAATCGGTATGAGCCGATGCGAATTCTTTCACCGAAGGACAAGCCGCAATGACGAGTTCAGATTCATTGTCGGGATTATAAGGGCCCCACAATGGTAAACTGAAGGACCAAGGGTCGTTCATTGAGGGAAAACATTCGCAACTGTTGGAGAAAGAGCCTCCCATCACCATAATAATCTAGAACAGAAATAAAAACATAAGATTTTTATAATAAACTAGCAAACCCGACGAACTCCGTTTCGCCACCAGATGGTTTCGTGAGAAAGATGAAGAAATTTTTTGTTTGTTTTATATTTGAAAAGAAAGAATTTGATTTTATTATACAACAGTAATGATTTTATTTCGATTAGAAAAATGCAGTGCTTTTTCGTTGAACTTCTCTAAGTAAATGAAAGTGAATCCGCAAATTATCCGTTTCATTGAAGTGTTCTTTGGTAAACCACATTTTTTGTTTTTTGGTCTGACGTTAACACTAACAAAACGGATGGTTTTCCAACTCGTGAACAGACAACGTATAACTGCCCATGTGAAAAACAATGATTTTCTAAATAATCTATTTGAAATTTATCCCGCAAACACTAAGCGATTGGCCTTGCGACTTGTTATCGCGAGCGCAATGCGAACTGGAAATTGCAATCGTTTGAAGTCAAACGGAAGACCAGTCGGAATCATTGGTATGTCACCAAATCGGCAGCAATTTTTGATTGAATGGTGAAATTCAGTGCGTGTACATCATTATTCTTTGCGGCAAGAATTGCTATTTGACTTAATTGCAAGCATAATTCTAATAATTCTCACTAATGTCATTACTCGAATTTTTAATTACGGTGCATGAAGTTCCAGCAATTTGCATTAAGGCACTATGCCATGCACAACTAATTTTCTTAGCTATAAACCTTGCGGAGCCCGAGACCTTTCCAACGAATGCAAAATTGTCGAAATTGGTTTGTGGGTTCTGGAGTTATTTCGTCACGAAGAAAAACCCCACTTATTTTTATATATATAGAAGATTAGTGGTGTATGGCATCGTGCCTTAAGGCAAATTGCTGGAACTTCCCGTACCAATGAAAAAATTAGATTTTTGAGAAATTTTGAAATGTATGAAAAAATAGTCTTTTTTGGAAAATTGGATTTTTTTTGTTTTGATTTTTTTACAACTTTGAACACTTTTTTTAAGCAATCGTGCTGCAAAACTTTGAAAAAATTAGATTTTTGAGAAATTTTGAAATGTATGAAAAAATAGTCTTTTTTGAAAAATTGATTTTTTTTTTGTTTTGATTTTTTTACAACTTTGAACACTTTTTTTAAGCAATCGTGCTGCAAAACTTCGAAAAAATTAGATTTTTGAGAAATTTTGAAATTTTTGAAAAAAATTGACTGTTTTGAAAAATTTGATTCTTTTTGTTTTGTTTTTTTTTGTATTCTGTTTTTTTTAGATTTTTAACATTTTTTTTAAGAAATCGTGCTGCAAAACTTTGAAAAACTTAGATTTTTGAGAAATTTTGAAATTTAAAAAAAAAATTGACTTTTTGAAAAACTTGATTTTTTATATTTCGATTTTTTTTTATTTTGATTTTTTTTAAACTTTGAACGGCTTTTTCAAGCAATCGCGCTGCATAGCTAATTTGAGATCAAAATATTAAATCGCGTAAGCGCCGCGTAGTCGTCTAAGGTATAAACATTGGTACGGAACCCATATAAATGTACAGTATAATTGTACTTATCATTATAATCTTTATAAAAATCTGATAATACGATGTACATATGTCTAATGTTCATTTTTGAGAACCAAACGACATTATTTTTCACTTTTTTTATTTAATCTCCGAAACCGCTAGACCTGCCTTTCCAAAAATTTGATCAGTTCTTCATCATGTCAATACAAGTAAAATGTTTTTTGAATTATTAAAATCGAACGGTCCGTTCTCTTAAAAGCCGAGTTACCGTTTGTGGCGTTTTTTGTCTCGTATCTCCGAACGGATAGACCTGCCTTCGCCAAAAACTAATCGGCACGTCTCCTTATCAATACAAATCGAATGTTTTTTGAATTACTCAAATCGCTTCATCCGTGTTCCCGAAATCACGCACACACACACACACATACACAAAAACATACACACACATACATCATTTTTTTCTAAAGTATGCCAAAATGTTCAGAAGGTTTTGAAACGAAAAGATATTTAAAAATTTTCATTTTCGATTTTTTTGCTATTATTATAACTTGCCCTGCGGGAAGTTAATAAATATGAGGTTTTTAGAAAAAAAAATCATTATTATTACACTCACATCATTGAATTTAGTACACCTCCTATTGTTAGATGGAATTGAGCAATTATTCTCAAAGTCTTCAAAACTTAAAAATGGAATATTGATTTCGAATTTAATTGGTTGTGTAATCTCGATTGGCTTTGGAATGAATGATTTTAATACATTAAATTTCTCTAAATGCATTGAATTCTTTTCTGGAATCAATTTGTACCATTTTAAGAGCGCCTGAGGAAAGAAAATAATATAGTAATATATATATATATATATATATATATCTATATATATATATATAATTATAAATATTCATATATCTTACATGATGTATATTAGCAACATTAATAACATCTGAATTTAAAACCTTGTGCCACAAATCAAATGACATATTCTTAAAATCATCACATTCCACAATGTCGTCAAAATTATTCAAAATGTGCCTAAAAATGTTCCAAATGCAAAAAAATTACATTAAACAAACTTTGTTTGCTATTGTTCATGAACATACAAAAAAGCAGCCTTTGCAACTTCTTCATAACTCCTTAAATTTGCTATTGCATAAATCATCAGACAATTCTGGCTGTTTAATTTTTGTTTTAAATAATGGTTTATGTACGGCCGTAGTTCGTACAATTGTAAAATATCAATCGCTTCTATTATGTCATAGTCGTTGTCATCATCCAACTAGAAAATAAATAAAAGAAATATAAGTTGTGTATATGAGAATAATAATAATTATATATATATATGAGTGAGTTCTTGAGGGCGATACATCAAACAAAGAAAAGCCAAAGATTTATAAAATAATCTTTATTTCCAAACGTTTCGACATTCAATTTAATGTCATCATCAGTGGATATTACGTTGGTTAGTTACATATAGAGAAGTGTACAACAGCGCTAGAGATTGGCACTAACATTTATACAACTAACTTGTCAGCACTATGCATTTTTTATATAATTTTTTTGTATGATGTAAACAGAAAAATGATAGTTTTATTGAACAAAAATGTAAGTAGAATTATGTAATTTCTGCCACGACTTCTGTACTTTGCGAGTACCGAGGCATGTATAAACGCCAACACGTGTTTTGAGAGATTTTTAAGGGTCATTCCAGGATTGTTATGGGCGGGTAGGTAGAAAATGGTCGGAAGTTGAAACTAGTAATGTTAGGCTAGGTTTGTATGGTTAGAATTAGGAGAAAAAAATTGGAAATGTTATTTAGTATTACTAGGTAGTTATACTAATAACTCAAATATCTAAAATAAAAAAATTTTAAGGTTTATTCAAAATTTGCTATGCATGGGTAGGTAAAGCTCGGGTATCAAGGCCGAAGTTAAACTAGGAAGTGTTGGCAAGGTTAGTAAGATCAGGATTAGTTTTGTTCGGAGGAGATAAATTTGGAAACATTATTTAGTATTACTTGGTAGTTATCGCAGAGTAAGGAGCAATCCGATCTTTTGTTCACCGCGTGATCACATATTGATATGAAACAAGATTCTGCAAAACGTCTCTGAATGGTGTTCCGTTCATGGTAGAGAATACTGGCATTATAAAAGTTAAAGGAGTGTTTGAAATTTTTTATGTGTTCTGTTATCATAGTTTGGTTTTGGTTGGGGTTTTTCGAATTATTGTCGTGTTGTTTGAGTCTTTTTATTAAATTTTGTCCGGTTTCACCTATGTAAGTAGAAGGGCAATCATTGCAATTTATTTTGTAGACAATGTTGGAAGTACGTTCTATGCTAGTGGGAGATTTCAGGTTTGTGTAGAGGGATTTAAGAGTTAGATCTATGTTGCAGGTTAGTCTGATGTCTACCTTATGAAAAAGTTTTTTCCACACTGGAAAAAGTTATTTTACGTAAGATAAACAAACGTTGCCTATATAGTTATTGTCTTTAGAATTTTTTTCTGGGGAAAAAGAAGGATGCATACTGTTGAGGGTTTTAAGTCTGTTGGAGGTGACGGAGTTGATGAGGTGCGGTGGATATGAGTTGTTAATTAAAGTTGTGCGGATGAGGGATAAGTTAGAGGGCCAAAATTGTTTGTCTGAGAGTAGGATGGCATGGTCGACTAAATTAATAATAGTGCCTATCTTCATGCTAGAAGGGTGGTAAGAATGATAATTTAAATACCTACCCGACCAAGTAGGTTTTTGGAACCAATTAGTGATAATTCGATTGTCTGTGGTTTTTATAATTTTTACGTCTAAAAAGCTGATAGAATTTCATTGTTCTTTTTCAAACGTAAAGGAGAGATGCTCATTAAATTTAGTTAGTTGTATAAATGTTAGTGCCAATCTCTAGTGCTGTGTACACTTCTCTATATGTAACTAACCAACGTAATATCCACTGATGATGACATTAAATTGAATGTCGAAACGTTTGGAAATAAAGATTATTTTATAAATCTTTGGCTTTTCTTTGTTTGATGTATCGCCCTCAAGAACTCACTCATATATTTCAACATCAAAATTAACTACTAAATCATATATATATATATATATATATATATATATATATATATATATACCTGTATAGTTGATGTGTAGATAAAATTTAATATTTCAACTACTGCAGCATAGTCTAAATCGTATAGAGGAATTTTATCCAGCTTTGATTCTTGAAAATGGTCTGTAAACATTGACCTGCAAAGATGAAATATCTATTTATTATATATATATATATATATATATATATATATATATATATATATTTCTTATTACCTAAAATATTGTGAAGATGCACATAATACATTTCGATGTGCACTAATTTCCTTTTCCTCAACCAAAAAAGTGACATCACAGAACTGACTAGTCTTTCGTTGTTCATTCAGAACATCCATCACAGCCTTGTGGTAATTTGGTAATCTATAAATTATTTGCGTCATGTCGAAAACAGATACCTAATACTGTTATGTGGTACTAAAAAAAATACTTATTTTTAATAAAATAATACAATAACCAAGCCTAGTAGAAAGAACAAGATTTAATCTTGCACAATTTTATTAAGTACTTACATTAATAGTCTAAAACATTTAAGTGGAATGATATTTTGTATAAATATATTTAATTATAACGTCATTTTTTATTTAAATATTAATTAATATCAATCACATTTTTTTAACAATGCAGATCTTCAAGTGAGGTTAAGGTGTCAATGTTTTTTTAGAGCTGTCAAAGTGTCAACCAATAAGAAATCGTAAAAAAGGTAGCTGTCAGAGCAAGTTAGCCAACTACGGAAAGTTGCGCGGGAAAATTTGAAATAAGATTTTGACATCAAGCAAAATTAATCAAATAATTATATATATATATATAATATATATATATATATATATATACTAGATGACCCGACAGACGTTGTTCTGTACCCATGTCTGCAATTTAAAAGTTCCAATATTTTTTAATTACCTATATCTATCGATAATCGATGTTAATATTGAAAAAAATAAAATTACACTACTGAGAAGGGATGTCATCCCCCCGAAAAGTGGCTAAGGAGTCTAAATTATTTTCACTTTTGAACTTGAGAGTAAGATGTACCTAATTCCAAAATTTCATAAAAATTGGAGCACAGTACAAAAAATCAGCCCCAAAACGCTCCATTGACTTGAGTAAATATTTCGTATCCAATGCCAAACATTTGAATTTTTGACACAATGAAACATCTAAATAATATTTTGAATAAATAATTTTTTTTGTATTGTGATTTAGTAAAGTAAGTAATTAGTTAAAAAAGTTTTATGTGCAATCACTGACAGACGAATGCGCAGACTTCATCAGCCAAACCATATACTATATTTTATATTATTTTAATTTCTGGCACATCTCAGCTGCTTTTCGGCAATAATAATGTAGACATTACATTTTTCTTGTTCATAATAATGAATTTATTATATTTTAATAATGTCAAACTATGCCTCAAATATTTACAAAGTCAAGCAATGATAAGCGGTTTTTTGTAATTTTTAACTTCCCGTAGGGTAGTTATAGTAATGGGCCGAAAATCGAAAATGAAATTTTTGCATTTCTCGACGTTTTTGAAGGTTTCTGAACATTTTACTGGCATACCTCAGAAAAAATGAATGTGTGTGTGTGTGTTTTGTATGTGTGTGTTTTGTATTTCACCACGTTTTCGGGCGCACGGATCAACCGATTTGAATGTTCTAAAAAACATTCAATTAGTAATGATTGGGAGAAGAGGTGGTTAATTTTTGGCAAAGGCAGGTCCAGCCGTTACGGAGATACAGAGCTAAATGTGCAAAAAATGGCAGCTCTTGAGTGAACTAAGCGTCCGATTTGAATGATATAAAAAAAATTCTGCTTGTATTGACAAAACAATTGCTTTTGAGAATAAAAAATTATTACATCTTTTTTATTTTGGAAATAAAATTCAAAAAATTACCCAGGCTAAGCACAGTCTAAGCGCCACTTTGGTACAAATGTTTACCCAAGTGCGTTTAGACTGTTTGCGTACTGGACCACTTTTCTAATTTTGTGAAAAAAAACTATTGAAAAATGTAAAAATGCCGCCGAGCTAAGCACAGTATAAGTGAAAATGTCGCACAGAATTATTTGCAAGTCCGTTTAGACTATACGGGAGCACTTTTTCAATTTTGTGTAAATTGGAATTAGGCAACTATTTTTTTTTTTTTGAAATTGAATTCGAAATGAAATGACGATTGTTAAGGTTCTGGAAATAAATTGATTTATGATTTCAATTTGATTTGCTCAGATATAAGAAGATAGCAAAAATAATGAAAGTTACAGTATTTGTAACTGTAATTGTAATAATTATTACAAATACTGTAACTTTCATTATTTTTGCAAATTGCAAATTGCAAATTTGCAAAAATATTTCATTTCGGTACGGGAAGTTCCAGCAATTTGCCTTAAGGCACGATGCCATACACCACTAGTTTCCATTTATTTCTACAATCTAACTATATTTCTATAATTCAAAAAAATCTAAAAAATTCCCATAACAAACTTCATAAAGATTTATCAAAATCCGAATAATTGTTTAGGAGGAGTATATTTACATAAAGAATTTTATATGTAATATATATTTATATTTATGTGTTATGTATATAACTGTAATAAAATATCAATTATCACTATAACAATAAAAAATAACAATATATAAATAGAAAGTACTTTATTGAGAAATATTCAAAAATACTATTTCATTATAATATAATACAGTTTTTGTGTCATTAATTAAAATATTTAAGAGATATAACCTTTCAATAATGATCGAGTGTCTATCAAATCGAATCTCCTAAAATTCTAAAAATCCAATAAAATATCCATTTCTAGCTCTAGCTCAATAAATGTAAAAGAAATCAGATTCATCTCTACATCATCATCATATAACATTATCTTATACATACACATCTATTATATATCATTCGAGAGCATCATCATTCAGATCATCCTATAAATTATAGTACATATTGGGATACTAATTGAATTATTAATGATGAAATTATAATTACTATAATATATTTATTTATATTTATATTTATATGTATATGTATATGTATAAAGTGGGAAGCGAAGAATTATACTACAATGGGGGATCGATGGGAGCAAGTGAGGGAAAAGGGTTATTCGGGGGCTTCGTCAATACACACACATATATATAAATTAAACTAGATTAATATTTATTTAGTAATTGATAAGGATGGTTTGTGGTATGATTGTATTTGATATGGGGGCTCTGGGTTTTTTGTATCGAGCAGATGACAGACGGAGAACATTTTATAAATGATTATATATATATATATATATATATATATATATATATATATGAATGTTCTGGTTTATATTTAAGTAATTTAATTTAAAATTATTCCACTGATGATGGGACAAACTGAGTCTCAAAACGTTTTGTAAAATTTAAAATACTTAGTAGCGTAAATATATATATATATATATATATATATATATATATATATTGTATAAATTTTAGATTTTTTTGTTCGACGTTAAAAATTATATTCAACTTTTTCTGAATATTCTTGAAATGTTTATTTGAAGTCAAACAGTCAAAATAAAAAAACATATATATATATATATATATATATATATATTTATTTATTTATTTATTTATTTATTTGATTATTATGTACGTTTCGACACTGTATGTGTGTCATCATTCAGCACCTTAGACAAATTCAAACTAGAAACAAACATTTTTAAATCTTATTATTTAAAACAAAATTTAAGACCAATATTAAAAAATTTCAAGTACTTCTTACTCTTTATATATTTTTTTTCTCTAATTTTATTTTTAGTTTCCACTGAACGAAGGCTAGGATTATAGCCGAACCGTATAAATGTAAAATAAATTTAAAAAAAAAATCATGTTTTTTCATTGGTGTATACCCGATTATTAGACTTTGTTAATTTGTCATGATATTTAGTAAATTTTTAATTTAGTAATTTAGTACTTGTTTAACGTGCTGATTGATGGCACACATACAGTGTCAAAACGTACATATTTTGTAGTTTTTTACTTCCTGTAACTCAAACCAAGAAAAACAAGAACTCAATTTTTTATAAATCAATAAAAAACTCAAGAACATTACTACTATTATAAAATAAAATATTAATCCATTTTTATCAAAAGTGAACTGCGTTTTCATTTACTTAATGATGACACATATTTAGTGTCGAAACGTAGAAATAAAGTAATAAAAAAATAATGTCATTTATAATTTGATAAATTGGCTACTAATCATATAAAATGTGATTTAAAATTGAGTTAAATTGATTTAAAATAGAGTAAAATCATTTAAAATTAAGTAAGACTATAAAAAACGAGTTCATTCATACAATTGAGTAAAATTACTTAAAATTGATTCAAATCGATTTAAAATTCATTAAAATTAGTTAAAATTGATTTCAATTAATTTAAAATTGATTAAAATTATTTGAAATTGGGCTCAATCGATTTAAAGTTCATTAAAATTATTTGAAATTGGGTTCAATCAATTTAAAATTGAGTAAATCAATTTAAAATTGAGTTGAAAGATTTAAAATTGCATAAAATTGAGTTAAGTCGATTTAAAATTGAGTAAAATTATTCAAAATTGAGGTAAAAAAATTAAACTTGATTAAAGTTATTTAAAATTGATTTAAATCGATTTAAAATTCATTAAAATCAATTAAAATTGAGTTAAATTATTTAAAATTGGCCTCAATTAATTTAAAATTGAGTAAAAATATTTAAAACCGAGTTCATTCGAATTAGAATTGAGTAAAACTATTTAAAATTGATTTAAATGGATTTAAAATTTATTAAAATTAGTTCAAATTGATCTCAATTAATTTAAAATTGATTAAAATGATATGAAATTGAGTCAATCAATTTAGAATTGATTGAAATGATATGAAATTGAGTTAAAAGATTTAAAATTGATCTCATTTATTTTAAAATTGATTAAAACTATATGAAATTGAGTTAAATTATTTAAAATCGATTTCCATCCTTCTAAAATTGAATATAATTATTTAAAATTGATTTCAATCAAATTAAAATTGATTAAAATTATATGAAATTGAGTTAAAATTATTTAAAATTGACCTCAATTAATTTAAAATAGATTAAAACTATATGAAATTGAGTTCAAATATTTGAAATCGAGTTCAATCGATTTAAAATTTATTAAAATTAGTTCAAATTGATCTCAATTAATTTAAAATTGAATAAAATTATATGAAATTGAGTAAAACTATTTAAAATCGAGTTCAATCAATTTAAAATTGTATAAAATCATATAAAATTGACCCCAATTAATTTAAAATTGATAAAAATTATATAAAATTGAGTTAAAATATTTAAAATCGAGTTCAATTGATTTAAAATTAGTTCAAATTGATCTCAATTAATTTAAAATTGATTAAAATGATATGAAATTGAGTTAAAAGATTTAAAATTGATCTCATTTAATTTGAAATTGATTAAAATGATATGAAATTGAGTTAAATTATTTAAAATCGATTTCCATCCTTCTAAAATTGAATATAATTATTTAAAATTGATTTCAATCAAATTAAAATTGAGTAAAATTATTTAAAATTGACCTCAATTAATTTAAAATTGATTAAAATTATATGAAATTGAGTTAAAATATTTAAAATTGAGTACAATTATTTAAAATTGACCTCAATTAATTTAATATTGATTAAAATTATTTAAAATTGGGTAAGCTTATTTAAAATTGAGTTAAACTATTTAAAATTGAGTTCATTCGAGTAAACTTATATAATATTATATTAAATCGATTTAAAATTGAGTGAAGCCATTTAAAATTGAGTTTAATACAATTACAAAACAAAATTAACATATTGAATATTATTAACAAAACAATAATACTTAATCCATCTTTATCAAAAGTGAACTTTGATTTGATTTACTTAATGATGACACATATTTAGCGCCAAAACGAAAAATAAAGAAAGAAAAATTAATATATCATTCATAATTGTACGAATTGGCTACTAATAATATTAAGTGTGCTTCAAAACCAAAATACTATCAAGAAATATTTGGTACATGTTGTTTATATAAATAATTAATAAAAGATGTAAACGTTTCGGTATCATTTGTTCCATCATCAATTCATAAACTGTTTTTAGATAAAATTCATCTATTTGTGCCAAAATTCTAAATGCTAAACTATATATATATATATATATATATATATATATATATATATAAATATAACTAAATTGTTTATATGTTTTCCGTCTATCAAACTGCTCTCCAAAATTTGGTCGAATCGTGTAATAAATACAATAGTATATAAATAAATTATAAAATCTAATAAATATTAATAAAACCCCAGAAATTAATTGTTACTCATCATGCAGACTTTGGATTTGTCTGATTGTCTAAACAAAATCATTCTCAATCCGATTTCTGCCAATTTTAAAATATCATTTACATTAAAATAACTATTTTACACTTTAATTAAAATTACATTAAAATAAATTTAAAACAAATAGTAAAAAATTGTACTATTTATAATACTTCTTATTAAAATACGTTAAAATTTTCATTTAAACAGTCAGTACATTTCAGATACCCAAAAGTATCGAATAAATATTTATTTGAATAAAATAAAACGGTTGCATCACCATTGTGCAACCAGCTTGTCATGTTAAAATATAAATGGAGTGTTGTTGAAGCGAGGAATGCTTATTCATTTAAAATACTTGTATAAAAATAGATAAATTTTAATAATCACAGAGTGTTTCAATACTAAGAATGTACTCGTGGTCCCATAATCGAGATACCCAATAAAGCCATCAAGGTCAATTATATATATATATTTAAAACTGGCAAGTTCTAATCGAGTTACTATATAAAAAATTGGGCAGTTATTGTCATGCAGTTGCGTTTAAAATATACATATATGTTATACCAGTGACACTGATATAAATATATACACTTATATGTATATTATAAAAAAAAGTCGTGTATATATTGAAAGGCACGTCGTATAAATATGTATATAAATTGTTTACAAAATATAATCTCCTATACCTACACTTAATATTAAAATCATATATGTACACCACTTCGTTGTGCATTTAAAAATATAATACCACTTTCATATTATTATCTATATCTATATTTAAATTTAAAATAACAAATAACTGATTCAACAACTCTTTTACGCTTAGCACTTACATGTTTTAATATTAACAAATATAATAGTAATCGATTAGTCGTATTCTCTCAACATCAACAATCAAGCCATCGATTAAATAAACTTTCACAACATTTAAAAGTAAGAAAAGATTCTGGGCAATGTCGAAGAGATGATTTTGCATCAAAAGTTGGAGTAATAAAATAATTAGAAGACAAAAAGTAAGGTTATGTTATTAAATAAATACATATTACTGGCAAATAAATAATAAAACAAATGCTGTACCTGAACTATCCATTTTGCACTAATTAAACTTCTCTTGCTTGTTTTACAATTGCACAAAAACTGTTAAAATAAAATTTGAAAAAGTAGGGTTATGTTCCTATGTAATTAAATAAATATACTTTACTGGCATTACAACCTTTAAATGAACTATAAAACAATTGCAGTACCTGAACTATCCATTTTGCACTAATTAAACTTCTTTAACTTGTTTTAAAATTGCACAAAAACAGTGAAAATAAAATTTGATTTTTGATTGTAAACTCTAAAGAGCGCCATTTTGAACCAACTTCACTGTTCAAATACACAACTGTCAAAAATATGAATCTAAAAAATTTTGAAAATTATTAAATTATTAACTATTAAATAATATTAATAGTTATTTTTTAGAAAATAAATTATTTATTATATATTTTCGAAATTATATAATAAATAATTTAACAGATATAACTATAAGTGTCTCTTATTTAAATTACAAAGTATACATGGTTGCCAACTTATAATAACATAAATTATCTTTTTATAAAAAAAATACGTTACAGCTCGATTTAAAATTTAGTGAGTTTAGTGAGTAAAATTGAATAAATCCAATTCAATTTCATTTCATTTTTTTTTTATAATCTAAAATGGTGTGAAATTTTTAAAATAATGTAAAATTTTCTAAAATCCATTAAGATTATATAAAATTGAGTTCAATTGATTTAAAATTGAGTAAAACTATTTAAAATTGAATTAAATTAATCTAAAATTGAGTAAAATCATTTAAAATTTAATTCATTCGATTTAAAATTGACATATTTAAAATAGTATAAAATTATTTAAAATCGATTTAAAATTAAGTAAAATATTTATTAAAATCGAGTCAATCGATTTAGAATTGAGTAAAATGGTTTGAAATTGAGTTAAAACCATTTAAAATAGAGTAAACAAATTTTAAATTATGTTAATACGATTCAAAATTGATTAGAATTACTTAAAATCGAGTCAATCGATTTAGAATTGAGTTAAATTGTTTTAAATTGTGTTAAAACTATTTAAAATTGAGTAAAACTAATTAAAATTGAGTTAAAACGATCTAATATTGATTAAAATTATTTAAAATCGAGTCAATTGATTTGAAATTGAATAAAATTATTTGAAATTGGGTTCAATCGATTTAAAATTGAGTAAAAATATTTAAAATCGAGTTCAAGAGATTTAAAATTAAATAAAATTATTTAAAATTGATTATAATCTATTTAAAATTGAGTAAAACTATTTAAAATCTAGTTCAATTGTTTTAAAATTGAGTAAAATTATTTAAAATTGAGTAAAAGATTTAGAATTGATTAAAGTTATTTAAAATTAAGTGAAACTATTTAAAATTCAGTTCAATCGATTTAAAATTAAATAAAATCATCTAAAATCGATTATCTAAAATCAATCGATTTAGAATAGAGTTAAAATTGAGTAAAATTATTTAAAATTGATTTGCATTGACTCAAAACTGAGTAAAATTATTTCAAATTGATTTAAATCTATTTAAAATTGTATAAAAATATAAAATCAATTTATGGTTGATATAAATTAAGTAAAATTGCATAAAATTAATTTAAATCAATATAAAATTCAGTTAAAGCTATATAAAATTGGATAAAACCATTTAAAATTTAGTTTAATCGACTCAAAATTGAGTAAAATTATTTAAAATTTAGTTCAATCGATTTAAAATTGATTAAAACTATTTAAAATTTAGTTCAATCAATTTAAGGTTGAGTAAAACTACATAAAATTGATTTAATTCAAAATAAAATTGAGTTAAAACGATATAAAATTGGGTAAAACCATTTAAACTTTAGTTTAACCGACTCAAAATTGTGTAAAATTATTTAAAAATTGAGTTAAACGATTTAAAATTGATTAAAATTATATAAAATTAGGTAAAACTATTGAAAATTGATTCAAAATTGAGTAAAAATCGAGTCAATCAATTCAGAAAAGAATAACATTATTTAAAATTGATTCAAAATTTAGTAAAATTATTTCAAATCTAGTTAAATTGAATGAAATTGAATAACAACTATCTAAATCAAATAAAATTGAATAAAATTGGGTAAAATTTGTTTGATATTACTTTTAAAATTGTAATGGTGAGTACAACTAAGTAATTCAATTGTAAAAAATAATTATATTGTCTTTCAATGCTGTTTGTATAATTAAGTTTGTGCAAAATTTCACCTTGAAGAAGAAGTTTTAATTAATATCTAAATGAAAGTAATATTTGTAAAAAAATTTATCAAACGTGATATATAAATCAACTAAAGATGCTTTTGGCTTATCAACCAAATAAATTTGCAAAAATAAATATTGAAATATCTAATCTTATTACTCATATCGAGTTAAATTTCATCAATATCGGTTTGATATTATGAAAGTCCATTGTAACACGAGCATAGATATATAAAAATCTATACATCACGTATGTAAAGATTGCAATGCCATTAAATCATCATAAATTACACGCAAAAACCTAAATCTGCAACATTCACCATTTACCTCCAACTTGAAATCCACAATCATTTACCCAAACATTGCAAACCCGCTTACTATATATAAATAGCCTCCGGTCCTTTATTCCCCGTACCGTTACAGCCCCCATTGCCGTTGCTGCCTCCGGTCACGGTGCCCCCATGGCCGCTCGTATAAGAGGGCGAATTGACGCCCTCGGACCAGTCGGAGTTACTATGGGGGCTCGACGAGCTCCAGTGCCCCGGAGACTCCGGAGACGGCGTCGGAAAACTCTCTGGCGTCTGCACCGTGTGATGGGGGGTCCCTGTGCTCTCCGAGTGCTGGCTGGGCGGCGTCAAGTACTGGTGATGGTAGTATTGGAGGGATTGGGACTGCTGCTGGTTTCCTAGAGGACAGAAAATAGAATTAGAGGATGTAGAAATAGACTTGGGATTTGTAACACTTTGGAAAATATTTATATCAATTTTAAAAATTTTCCCTAACAAACTTCAGAAAGATTTACCAAAATCCGAATAATCGTTTAGAAGGATTATATTTACATGGATCATTACAGAAGAATATATAAGAATATACAATTCTTCTATAATGATTTTTTTATATATAAGAATATAAAATTCTTCTGTAAGATTCATGTAAATATAATCCTTCTAAACGATTATTCGGATTTTGATAAATCTTTCTGAAGTTTGTTAAGGGATTTTTTTAAGGTTTTTTTGAATTATAGAAATATAGTTAGATTGTAGAAATAAATGGAAAAAATTACAAATAACCGCTTATCATTGTTTGAGTTTGAAAATATTTGAAGCATTGTTTGACATTGAAAACAAATGAAGACTGTCATTTGCCCAAAATTTCAATTTACTTATGAGCCTAGACAATATCAAAATGTGTATAATATATTTATTATTGTGAATAAGAAAAATGTAATGTCTATATTATTATTGCCGAAAAGCAGCTAAGATGTGCCAGAAATTAAAATAATATAAGATACAGTATATGTATGGCAGATGAATGATACACATATGAACAGGATTTGACAAATTAATTCACTTAAAATGTGAAATTAAGTAATAATCAGGGCCGGTCCTACTTTAAATACGACGCATGGAGAAAATACGAGCGGACGCCTTCTTTATATAGTTTTGTTTTTTTTTTTCAATATAATCCAATAACTAGTGGTGTATGGCATCGTGCCTTAAGGCCAATTGCTAAAACTTCCCGTACCAAAAATTATTTTTTTAAAAAAAGATAAATTTTTGTTAAACTTTGAAATAAAATGGAAATAGATTATTAAGAAATTTTAAATATTGGAACAAAATTGCATTTTTGGAAGTAAAAAACTTTTGGCAAAAAATGTTATTTTTTTTATTTTGAGATATTTTGGAAATGTTAAACATTTTTTCTAAGCAATCGAACTGCTTTAGCTGTATTGAAACGAAATATCGAAGCGCATAAGCGCCGCGTCGCTGTCTAATGGACTCTAATAATCATTTTTGACCGCCAAATAGCATTTTTTTACTTTCTTTACTAGATCTCAGAACCCGCTAAACCGGCATTCATAAAATTTTGATCAATTCCTCATCTTGTCAATATACAAGTAAAATGTTTTTTGAATTATTAAAATCGGACGCTCCGTTCTCTTAAAAACTGAGTTACCATTTTCGGCACTTTTTGCCCCGTATCTTCGGAACGGCTAAACCTGCCTTCGCCAAAAACTAATCAGCACGTCTCCTTATCAATTACTGAATCACTTCAATCGGTTAATCCATGCAGCCGAAATCGTGGACGAAAAATTGTATCCAAACATACATACATACACACATACACATACATCCATTTTTTCTAAGGTATGCCAAAATATTCAGAAACCTCTAAAACGTAAAGATTTATAAAAATTTTCATTTTCGATTTTTTACGATTACTACAATTTACCCTACGGGAAGTTAAATATATAATTTTTTTGTATCCTTTACTAATCTTTGCACAATATTTTTAAAATACGTTAAAAATTTCACTTTAAAACAACAAATGGGAGAGTAAAGGTGAATACATACAATTCAGTCCTTACGATATCAATTAGATTAAATTAAAATAATCCAACATGAAGTGCCAGTGTTATGTTATGGTAATGTTTAATAATGAAAGGCTAGAATTTTTTTTGCTCTCTATGATTTACTCAATAGAATATATCGCATAAAATGCCTCAAATAAATAAAGAAAATATTTCAAAAGCCAAATACTAAATAAAGATAATAAAGTGTATTTAATTAAATTCCCTGATAATAAAGTGTATTTAATTATTACTAATTAATTATTAGAAAAATGTAATTGAGATATTATAATTACTAAGAACCAGTTAAAATATGATACGAGATTATAAAAATTATAGGCAGCAATGTTGAAGCAATTATTTTGGGTCGAAAAATATAAGAAAATATTGTACTTTTACCGCGGATACCTAATATATATATTTTTTTCTGAATTTGTTATACCGTTTAAAAGACTTCAATTTCCGATCTAATAGTGTGGAAATTGAGACTCATCATTTTATTTAAATCAGTTCTACATTTAACATCGCTCATATTATAAATGTATATGCATTCTAGTGTGAAGAGTAATTTAAAAAAAACTAGCTGTAAGTGGTATTCTGTCTTGAGGCAATTATGGCATCGTGCCTTAAGGCAAATTGCTGGAACTTCCAGTACCGTAACGAAATGTTCAAGGAATACTGAATGTTTTCAAAGAGATTATTATAAATATTGTAACATTGTCTAATATTCATAAGAATTATATAAACTGAATTGCAAAGTTGAAATTATTTGTAAAGTATATTAGAACTATAGTCAGAATTAAAAATAAAATCTGAATTATCTGAAAAAAAAAGTTGAAACAATTTTTTTTTCCAAAATCAATTATTTTGTTAAGACAAGCAGAAAGTTCTTTGAATCATTTAAATCGAACGTTTAGTTCTCTCAAAAACTGCCATTTTTTACATATTTAGCTCCGTATCTTCGAAATGGCTGGGCCTGCCTTTGCCAAAAACTAATAAACACTTCTCCCAATCATTACTAATTGAATGTTTTTTAGATCATTCAAATCAGATACTTCGTTCTCTCAAAAAGTCGATTTCTATTTTCTGCACTTTTTGCTCTTTATCTCCGTAACTGCTGGACCTGCCTTTGCCAAAAACTAATCAGCACATCTCCCTATCAATAGGAATCGAATGTTTTTTGAACCATTCAAATCGGTTTGATCCGTGCGCCCGAAAACGTGACTGGAAATTTGTATCCATACATACATACATACACACACACACACACACACACACATCCATTTTTTCTGAGGTATGCCAAAATGTTCAGAAACCTTCAAAACGTCGATAAATGTAAAAATTTTCAATTCCGATTTTCGGCCTATTACAATAACTTACCCTACGGGAAGTTAATAATTATTATTTTCAGGTAAACGGTAAATATTAGTGTAGAATATTAAAAATTTGTAGACATGGATACAGAACAACATCTGTCGGGTCATCTAGTATATATATATATATATATATATATATATATTTAGTTTGTAAATATATATATATTCGTTATTATAAATTAATATTTTTTCCCTTACCTTGAGAATTACCAAAAGGCATATCCAATCCTCCACTAAAATCGAATCCCCCAACAAGCGACCCCATGGCATCGTTCTGCTGCAGCAGTTGCTGCTGGAGCATAGCAGCCAGCTGTTGTTGCTGCTGCTGCACCTGCTGCTGTTGCTGTTGTTGCTGCTGCTGCTGCGTCGTTGCCGACGCCGTCGTCTGCTGCTGCAGATGCTGTTTTTGCTGCTGCGCATGTCGCATTGCTGCAATGTGCGTGGGGCTCGTCGGCAAACTCGGCCTGGACTTTGCAGGAGACGGTGAACCTAAACAGAAGACGACACATTATAGAAGACTATAATATATATATATATATATATATATATATATATATATATATATATCTCTTATATATAAAATTCTTCTGTAACAATGTAAGTTTCATTAATCCTCCTAAACTATAATTCGGATTTTCATGAATCTTCCTGAAGTTTGTTCGGGTAACTTTCTAGAATTTTTTGATCCATAGAAATATAGTTAGATTGTAGAAATAAATGGAAAAAATTACAAAAAAACGCTTATCATTGATTGACCTTGCAAATATTTGAAGCTTAGTTTGACATTAAAACAAATGAAGACTGTCATTTGTCAAACATTTCCATTGACTTATAGACTAAGACAATATTCAAATATAATAAATTCATGATTATAAATAAGAAAAATGCAATGTCTACATTATTATTGCCGAAAAGCAGCTGAGATGTGCCAAAAATGAAAATAATATAATAAATAGAGTCAATATGCGTCTGACAAGTGATGCAGTTCTGTGCATGCGTCTCACTCTTGTGAAATGTCAGTTACATACCCTATATTAAAATTCAATTTGACAGATTATTATTTTTTAACTAAACTTTAAAGAAAAATTAAAAGCGTTGTTTGCTTATATCTTCAGAAATATACATTTTAATGGAAATCGTGTAATGAACAAAATTATATAAATTAAAATCCTAATAAATCGCTGTTTTTTAACGTGTCCTAGGAACAATATTAGGCTAATTATAAAAATAGGTTTTTATAGTGCTCAAACTAAGATTTAAAATAAGTACTCCTGCGTGTAAAATGAGTGAGATATTATGCAAATAAAAGACGCATACAAAGTTTTTTTTATTTAAATTAAATCAAATAGTTTAGAGTCCAAAATTAAAAATAATCGTATTTCATCTAGAATTAACTTGGTTTAAGAAATCTTAATGGATTCTAGAAAATACCACAACAATACTTTAGTACAAACGATTATGAAAAAACTTATGATTTCCTAAAAAAATCCATTAAAAAAAAACACCACCCTCCATTATAATATCTCTGAAAGAATACGTATAAAAGTATATATATGAAAATTCGAGGTATTTTTCTGACTATTAATTGCTTTTTATTATTTTTTTGCTACACAAATATTGATAGAGTTCTAATTGTTTAAAGAGTGCGGCTGTCGGTACGTTACGGTAAAATTTATGATAGAGAAAGTTGTAGCTCATTTAATTACCTTTAAAATAGTATATTACAAGTTCTGATAAAATCAGAATTAAATGAGTTATAATCCAATTAATGCCGGGGGTGGTGACGGAATGCAAATTGTTTTCACTTCTGAACTTAAGATTGAGATTGGCATATTTCCAAAATATCAAGAAAATTGGAGCACAGTAAAAAAAATTCACAGGGCACACGCTTTTTTCCTCTTTATTTACTGCAATAATTTTGTTGATCGTAGGTTGAATAGAGCACTTGTGAACAGGATTTGACAAATTAATTCACTTCGAATATGAACTTAAGTAATAATGTATATTGATTTATTAGTGAGAAAAATGTAATTTAGAAATTAAAATTACTAAAAGCCAGGGTACGAAATTATAAAAATTATAGGCAACATTATTGAAGCAATTATTTTGGGTAGAAAAATTTAAGGTGATATTGCACCTTTACCGCGAATGCTATATATTAATTCTTTCTGAATTTGTTATACTGTTTAAAAGACTTCAATTTCCAATACGTATATCTTAAGCTATAAATCACAAAGGCAGACGATGATTTTTTGTGTGATAAATTCGGAAAATCAATGTTTTAGTCGTGAATAAACAAAAAATCATT